ATCTATATATATAGATATAGATCTATATATCCTCTGGTAGAGGACCCGAGCTCAGAGGATAAGAACCACCCGCGGTGGGTGAGAAGGGAATTTTTTTTTTATATATATATATATATGGAAGGATTTAAAATTCGTCCATTTTAAGTTCTCTTCATTAGCAGAGCCTGTTTCTTCTTTCCTTCTTGAATCCCATCAGAAGCAGCCAGACTGAACTTTATCAGCTCAGCTTCTTTCTTTGTGACACGATGAGCGTTAAACCTGTTCTGTTTCTCTTCCCTTAAAATTTAATTTGAGAAACTATTTAAAAGTAAATTAAATGTTTCGTTCCTGTGTTATGGAGCAGAAGCTCCGCCCACTGCATTTCAATTGAACTTGTAAGGTTGTTTCCTCTTCTGACACAACAAACTTTAAAGAATTTACTGGGATTTTAAGAGGCTGACCAACACAAACTGGAATGTAAATACAGGCTTGTGTTTCTTGTTCGTTCAGCCCCCTTTATTCTGATACCACTAAAAAAATACACACAGGCTTTCTATGGTTCACACTGGAAGAAGTAGGTGAACTGGTTGACGTAATGCTGATCTGTGATTTTTGTCTGGGATGTTGCTCCGTACCTGTTTCTGCTCTTGTTGTTTTGGTTTATATGCATATTTTATTTATAATTTTTGTTGTGTCAGCCAGTTTAGAGGTTAAAGGTCACAACGCTGGACCAATAAGTCTGTTTGGACATGTTGAAAGAGAAAAGCCTTTTGTCCCTAGAAACAAGATGGCTGCCGGTCTGAGGTTAGCAGAGCTGCATCTGGATGGAGGAAAGCCAAGGCACGGTGGTGGAGGGGTGATGAAATGGGCATCTTAGGGTTTTCTGGCCAGACTCCAGCTGAGTTTTTAGTGAAAACTGATTCAGTGATTTTGAGACGGGTTGGCCTGCATGCAGTTGAGATGAGCCGAGTTTCACTTCGTTCATCCGACGATCCGCTGGAGCAGATCTGCTGCTGAAATACAAAGCAGAGTCTGGAATAAATAGCTCTGCATCAGAGCTGTGATTGGTGGGATCGTCACTGCTGGACCCTTTGCAGCGTCAACCGTGCATAAAAAGCAGCTTTGAGCCAGAAATATCTCTGCTGAGGATTATTTATAGAATGAAAGAGGAGATGGATGCATAAAATCTCCATGTTTACACCACAAATTAAAATCCTTCCAGAAAGCTCTCTGTCTCAGATTCATCAGGCGAGTTTTTAATGTTTGTCCCAGTTCATTTGATTCTTAATTCAATTATTAATTTCTTAGTTTATAAAATGTACCGTCCTTTGATTACGAAGAGAGAAGCTAAAATCTTCCTGCGTTCTGCAAAATTAACAGCAATAATTCAGGTCATTTATCCAGTTATTAGAAAAACCTTCATTTTTATTAAAAAAAATCACCTCTATTGTTTTCTCTCATCACAACCTAAATAACTGTGTAACCTTTGCAGTGGTTCTTTGGGTCGGGGTGGTTCTGAAGCTGCATTGATTCATCTGAAGGAGCCATTTTGGGTCAAATCACTGAGTTATGATTAAAATCTGACCTGCTGAGCAAAGCCACTTTAACCTGGGTGTATGTAAACATCTGAGCCTTCATGTAAAAATTTGGATCTGAATTCAGGTAAATCCACCTTAAACTCAAACATCTAAAGCTCATCAGTGACCATTCGGTTCATGGAGAAGTGTGTGTGGGTCAGCCTGGACTGAAGCTAACGGCAGCTGTTATCCGCAGCTAGCTGATAGCCACGGCTAGCAGCTAGCCATGCTAAAAGCTAGTTAACACAGCTAGCTGTTAGCGCAGCCAGCTGATACTCGTGGCTATCAGCAGGATGCGATCTGAGGTGGAGATGTTTGGGTTGAACATCCAGAGGGACTGGCCTGTCTGCGGTTCTGCGCTCATCACTCCAACATGATTACCGCTAATTACCCTCCGCTCCGCTGTGTCCATCCACAGGAAGACGCTAATTACTCTGTTTACACTGCAGAGTTCCTCTAAGTAAAAACGCTGCATGTTTTCCTCGATGTCCTTTGACTGGAAGCAGCTGAGATCCACAGGATCCTGTTCACAGGATCCACACAAACAGGCAGCGTTTTAGCTAACAGCTCCACCACTTCCTGTTAGGGAGTTATCATGTGACGTCATACTTCCATGAACTTTGTGACTGGCAGCCATCTTGGTAGGCCGTTGCTATGACAATAAACAAGCTCACTACTAGCTGTCGCTTTGTTCCTGTCTAATTTATGAATAATGTCAGTTCAATGTGACTACTAGAGAACTTAGACTCATTTTATGCATCCGTCTCCCCTTTCATTCCACCCTCTGTTCATTAAATATCAGTGAGATTTACTGCAGAACTAGCTCAGCCAACTCTCCGTGTCATATGGGTCTATCCCGACAGCAGCCATTTTGTTGATTCATATTTCTCTTGCACATTGTGTTTGTATATTTGTTCCTCTAGCAGCCGTGGCTCAGCTGTGCTTTGCTCTGCCTACCAAGATGGCGCTGATCAGTTCTGCATCAGATTTATGGAAACTTTGTATCAAACATGGCGCCAGGAGGCTCATCTGCTTTTAACATAAAGCACAAAGTTATTAAAATGAGACGATGATGACTGGAAAGCGTCTGCTGCTCCATGTTGCTCGTTTACATCCAGCTGCTGTTTTAACTGGAAGCTGGAAAGAGAAACTGAATCATCAGATTTGTAGTGAAATATCATTTTCATCTGTTAAATGTTTTATTTTTCTGATTGCTGAAACTAAAAATCTTTCTGTTCAGTAAAATGAGGATTAATTAATAATTATGTTCTGGTTCTGTTGGTTCTGCGGATCTGATCTGTTAAAGTTTCGCTGTTGTCTGAACTCATCAGATTCTGCGGCTCTATAGAGCTGCATGTCGCTGCGTCTGTCGCATTTATCAACGCAACGTCTCACAATGATCATCTGCTGTGGCTCAGTGTGAAGCTCCTTGATTTTGTGAAACCTAAACTGGTTCTTCTCTTCACAATAAGAGCATTTAAGGATCAGCACCGCCCTGCGAGCCTCACAGCCATTTCACTTGGAAAATACAATTGAAAGGCATTAAAATGATTAATTAATTTTTTTGTGAAGAATAAAAAAACGAATGAATCAAGAGTGTGAAATATATTTAAATATAAACTTAAGTATTTATTTTGAAACATTTTGTGATGAGTTTCAAATATTTAGCACGACTGCAATGTTACATTTAAATTTATAAATTAAAGTGAAAAATATAAACACATTATTATTAATCAATTTAATTGTGACATCCAATTTTAAATAATTTAAATAAAATACAAATAATCTCAGCACAATAACAATATAAAAAATATTTTTTAAACAAGTCGACAAGTTTTTATCTATTTAGAAGAAAAGTGAATTATTTTAATAACTTTGTTGCATTTGTGAGGCTCAGGGTCAAAAGGTCAAAACCTGAATAGAAAGTAGAAAATATTTATTAAATGTATTTTAAAATATAAAGGCACATAAATATTGTAACTTTTTATAATACTTTACTTATTCTGGACAATTTTTTCTCTCTTCATTATTTGTATTGAAAGTTAAAAATCAGTTTTACAAAGCAAGAGCGCCCCCTGCTGGCAGAAACACGTTCATTCTGAGGGATTTTTCTGATTCACTTTTGTGATTAAATTAACAAAGATGAACACATTGTGAATCATTTTACATGTATAGTAAAAAATAAATAATTTCACCAGATCTGCTTTTTTTTTTTTTTTTTTACCTTTCAGAGTTAAAATCCTCTGACTTTGTTCAGATATTATAAGGATTTACTGAAGAAGGGAAGAAGTTTTAAAACTAAATAATGAGCTTTGTTTAAACTAGATTATAGTGAAAATGTGCCTTTAAATTAAATCCTGTAAAATGGAAACTGAGTCTCCGTGTTGGCAGCCAGCAGGGGGCAGCACTGATCTACAGGAGAAACGTTGGCTTCCGATTTAATGAAACATCTGCATGTAAAAATATATTCATGCAGGGTTTAATATAATCATATACAAGTATATGAAGCATAATTACTCTGTAGAAGAAAGTTCTTGATTTGCCTTCAGTCTGGTTCATTTTCACCAGAAGAAAGCAGGAGCAGCTGATCTGCAGGTTTTCCTTCCTTTAACTTGAAGCAACAAGTTTTACATTTACTGTCGGCAGCTCAATATGAAATATGAGACAGAAAACATTGTATCTCCAGCAAGTCCCAAACGTTTTAATCTGAAAACTCACAAACATTTAAATTACTAAAGTTAAAAACATCTTGTTTTTATCTTATTCGATTTTCAAGCATTTACTTCTTAACAGCCAAATGGAAGAAAATAAAAGTTTGACATCGTGATTGTATCTTAGTTTATGCTGGTTTGTTGTTCAGCTTGGCTAGTTGATATTCAGCCTGTATTTAGTCTTTAGTCCTTGTTATCTGTTGTTTAAGCAGGGTTTAGTTTGGTTTATGTAAATAAGATAAGGTGCTTTACCTTATCTTGGCTGGTGTGGCTTATTTCATCTTATTTTATTTTAGCTCAGCTTGTTTTAGCTTGGTTTGGATTAGCCTATCCTAGCTTAGGATAGCTTAGCTGAACTGAATGTGGCTTAGTATAGCTTATCACAGTATAAAGCCAGAAACACTGAATAAAAAACAGACTATTTTTCAAATATCTAAATGATTTTATGAAAAGCACAGAAATGTTCGGTTAGCTTAAACTTTAGCAACCAGCAGGTAATAAAATGGTCGATCTGTCTCTTATCCTGTTTGTTTCAAAAGGAGAAATTTTTTATGGAACTTCATACCTTAAATGAAATATGACATAAAAAACTTCTTGGGCATAAACAATGTGTTCCCTTCACTTAGTTTTCCCTTCAGATCAGTGAACAGATGTGCAGAATCTATGAAATCCTTCCTGGGATTTAGTTTTGAAAGATGAACACAAACTAAGTGTTTGCTTGTTTGCCCTGCAGCGCCGCCGTCGAGTCGGATCCAGAATAAAACCCCAGCTGGTGAAACGTTGGAGAGCTGAGAGGAGCCGACTGAGCGCGCTCAGTAGCAGATGGTGACACTGCAGCAGCACTTCCCCAGGTACCACAGCACAGCATGTTAACAGAGAATGCCTACGCAGGAATATAGCACACCATGCTAACACAGGACGCTAAGACAGGATGCCAACACATCATGCTAACACAGCATGCTAAGACAGGATGCCAACACATAATGCTAACCAGCGTGCTAACACAGGATGCCAACACATAATGCTAACACAGCATGCTAACACAGGATGCCAACACATAATGCTAACCAGCGTGCTAACACAGGATGCCAACACATAATGCTAACACAGCATGCTAAGACAGGATGCCAACACATAATGCTAACCAGCGTGCTAACACAGGATGCCAACACATAATGCTAACACAGCGTGCTAACACAAGATGCCAACACATAATGCTAACACAGGATGCCAACACATAATGCTAACCAACGTGCTAACACAGGATGCCAACACATAATGCTAACACAGCGTGCTAACACAGGATGCCAACACATAATGCTAACCAGCGTGCTAACACAGGATGCCAACACATAATGCTAACACAGCGTGCTAACACAGGATGCCAACACATAATGCTAACACAGCGTGCTAACACATGACGCTAAGACACCAAGCTAGCACAGGACGCTAAGACGCCAAGCTAACACAGGACACTAACACAGTACTTAATTTATTTGAATAAAATCCTGAACTTTACATCAACTGAAGGATTTTAAGACATCTGATTAGTTAAAGTTAAAAAGTGTAAAATATAGATAATGTTATTTGGTAAATAAAAACCCAGTTATTGATTGAATAGTAGTTTTGTTTTTGCTGCAGCAGGGAAATGGGTCAGAGCACCACTGCAGGGGAACGGCACATTCATTCATTCATTCATTTATTCATTCATTCATTTCTGCCGTTAAGCTGCAACAATGAAATTAGGACAGAATGGAGAGATATGAGCTGGAGAGGCAGGTGGCGCTCTTCTGGTCTCCAAATCAATTATTATCAATAAATAACTATATACAATGCAATTGGCAATATGTGGGGGAGGGGCAGCGTTTCATCACGGTTTACAGGTTTTAGAAACAAAATAAAGTTTATATTTTAGTGGTTCTTAAACAAAAACTTTATTATATAAATATTTCCACTGGGGGATAATTTGGCCCTTGTGGGCTCACTTGTGCTAATTTGCTAACATGCTAATAGCAAAACTAATTCATGTTGAGAGCTTTGCTCATTTGCTAACTGTGAAAACGTTTAGCGCACTTAGCTTCCCCAATAAATTCAAAATGCAAAAAGATTTTGTCTGTTTTGTGAACTTTCAGTTGGATGAAGTTTGACGTGTCGGTTGAATTTCTGGTGATCAACTGTTAACAATCCTTCATGCTCTTATTTTGAAGTCTGTTTTTGCAGCAGTTTTCTTTCCTCTTTAGTTCCCCAATAAAGAAACAAGCAGGAACAAAATGAAGCAGACAATAAGCAAAATCTAAAGAAGTCATGGAAGATGTAAATTATTTCATAATTAAGTTGGTGATCGAGGGTTTTAGTCTTTTTAGGGCAGATGCAATTTGAATCGATGTTAGCGCGTTAGCATTAGCTGTTTTAGCGTTACAGTAGCTAATGTTACGGTACTCGCTTGTTAGTTCCTGTGACTAACCAGTGCTTTGGGTTAGCTGCCTAATTTTGTGCTGCCACTGAGTTTTGGCCTCGTTTTTCTGCAGTTATGCTCATGTGGGAATTTCTTTATTGTTTCTGAAAGAGTTAATGAAATGATTTCATGGTGTTTTTTTCTGGAATTTAGTCTTTATTGGTTGGAAACAAAATGCTGTGGCCAATGTTCCCTCTAAGCTGCGCCTGCGCAATCGCGCTCTGTTCACATATTCGCAGCGCACAAGAAAATCTATGTAGCGCATAAAATAAAGTCCAACGTAAAGTGGACATTGAGCTCAGACATCAGTTTTGACTATGGACCAATAATTTTTTTCCGTACTACTTTGCGATCGAACTCAGTGAGTGACAGGAATCCAGCCAATGATACGATACGGTTCACTTTCGCTACCTGGGTTACGTGCCTTGGTCATATGGCCGTGCAGGTGAGAATAGAGCGGTAGAGTTAAGAAACGTGAAAGTCATCACCTTATCATGTCTAGTGGGACATCCACTCACCAAGCCACAGTAAAAAAAAAAGAAATGCACTTCTTCTAAGACCAAATGGAATCAAATCAAATGAAAGGAATGGTCTGCATTTGATATTGAAATGTTGAGTTCAACATGTTGAGTTTGATTTTTTTTAATAAGCCATGCAACTTTCTATGATCCCAGATTTTTGATACTTGTGCGTGGCCACGCCGTGTACACTGATGATGCTCACAGTGGTCCTCAGTGGCCACGCCGTGTACACTGATGATGCTCAGTGGTCCGCAGTGTGTTCAGGAAGCTTGTGTGTACTCATGAAACATTAGAGGGAACATTGGCTCAGGCTGCCAGTGGGAATCGAACCTTCAGCTGCTGGCGGTGTGTGACCTTTGTGCGTCCACTGCAGCACTGCTGCGTGAACTGAGTTCAGCTTTTCCTTCTCTGCCGTTTGTTTCTGGGCTGCGGCGTCTCAGTCTGGTTTAATTGTTGCGCCGGTCGCATCCAAACGTGGAGAAACTGCTTCAGGTCGCAGAGAGAAATGTCAGTGGCCGTGACATTAAGAGGAAACGGTCAGCGCTGCTGATGCGCGCTGGAAACCCGAGGTGAGTCACACAGCGGCTGGAGGAAAACACTGAGATCCAGCAGCAGTTTCTAATCACTCAGCAGTGAAATGGAAATAAGAAGCAGTTAATGGTTTTCAGATTTATAATAACATAAATGCTGCTTCACATGGATCAGACACGATGTTGCCACTTGAAGCCGTTGTTAACGCCCAGATTTCCTGTCTGCCTTCTGCTGCAGATCAGCGACAGAAAGGTATAAAACTGTCAGATATGATTCGGTTCCGGGAATCAGATCGGATTGTTTTGGTGGTGAACAGATCAGAATCAGGCTGATTGTCTTCCTGCTGGTGAGCACCACGTTGATGTTAGTGCAGGGTGTCCAAACTTTCTGCCCATGGCACCAAAACTGGCAGGTGGGAAAATGAATTTTCTTTGATTTAAAAAGAATAATGAATAAATTGTCGCGTTGATGGAAATCTGATTCAGTGAAGCTGCAGGGTTTTCATCCAAATCACGCAGCGGCAACGAGTCAGATCAGGAGTTTCTGCCGAGCCGAACGGATCCACTTCCTGTAGAGACGGTCAGAAAACAGGTGGACGGATTCGGGAAAAAATCAATAAATGATGAATGAATAATGATTTCTGTCCTCATTTTTTTAGACACAAAAAAAAAAAATCTGAGGCATGAAACGTTTGAGGGTATATTTGTTTGTACTCAAGATACATGATGGAAAATCCTCACAATCTTTAGCTTCTGTAGCTTCATTAGCATCTGTAGCTTCTGTAGCTTCATTAGCACCTGTAGCTTCATTAGCACCTGTAGCTTCTGTAGCTTCATTAGCACCTTTAGCTTCTGTAGCTTCATTAGCACCTTTAGCTTCTGTAGCTTCATTAGCACCTGTAGCTTCTGTAGCTTCATTAGCACCTTTAGCTTCTGTAGCATTTTCATCTAGGTATTCGTTCAGCTAACACATCTTAACACTTAAACTGTAACACAAATGCACCAAACATTTTGTTTGAAAACAAAAAAGTTAATCTTTAATAACAAAATTGAGTTTTCATTGCTATTTCCAGGTACAATAACTTTAGCGGTTAAAATGTAAATCCAGTGATTAATTTTGTCCACTTCAATTCCTGTTTATTAAATTTAATTTCCTGAAAACACAAAGTCAAGTTTTATTTTGTTATTTTTACTGGTTTCAAACTGCAGAAGCTCTGATTAGCTCTGCATTTCTGACTCGCCTCCTTGCTGGTCATTCCTGGTGAACTTCCACTGGTTGGCCAGTAGGAGGCGGTGCACCACAGAGTGAATGCTTCCAGTATGACCAGCTGACCCCCCTAACCCCCCACTGTAGAGGCAAAAATAATTAATCATTCATCTGTTGATGTTTATAATCACTGTAATAAATCCACTGCAGCCTTTGTGTGTGTGTGTGTGTGTGTGTGTGTGTGTGTGTGTGTGTGTGTGTGTGTGTGTGTGTGTGTGTGTGTGTGTGTTTCCACAGCATGGAGCAGACGGTGCGGTCCCTGCTCCAGAACCAGGACTCTCTGGACGGACCCAAAGTGGATCCTCTGGACCTGATGAAGGCCTACAAGGTTCAGCTGTTAAATAATAACAATTTTTTTGATTCTGGAACATTTTAATTATAAACCCTGGAGAGAAAGATGAAAGCTGACGATGAATCCAACCTGCCAGGCTTTGATGTTGCTCATTAGTAATGTGGGCGGGGCCAATCTGTGCATATCTTCAAAACTAACAAACCGACAAGCCGCATCGTTAGTGGATCTGAGGTTTGTCTCATCGTTCCTGTTTTCTGTGATAAACTGCAGAATCTGACTGTCAGTAAGAAAACATGAACTTTAACATGATTTCAGCAGAAAACTCCTTAAAGGGACAGTTCTGCTCTTTAGAAAAGGGTTTCTGTGGAGTAGTCATGAGCAGTTAGTGTCTTCCAGGCAGCAGAGAGGAAGAAATCTCGTCTCTGTGGAGTTTTTATGTAAAATCTGCTGATTCTAAACATTTCTCTTTCATACCAACAAAAACAAATTTTTTCCAAAAAACAGTTACCAGAAAGATACTTACAGTGAAATAAACAAGTTACTTTCTTGCTAGCAGCTTTTATGTGACAGAGCAGCAATCTAAAAACTTCCTGCGCAGGACAAGCTGCTGGAGGAGATGTGGAAGCAGCAGGACAGCCTGGACGCCCCCCCCGCCGCCGCGCCGCCGTCCCCGCAGGCCGCCGCCGACAATCCTCTGCTGGAACGCCTTCGAATGCTGGAGGTAAGCCGGGTTTGAATGACCTTTAACCTTTCACAGACTGATGCACACCTCGTTTCTGATCATGTTCTCTGGGTGTACTTTCTTTTTGTGATGGCAGTAAATGTGAATAATGAGTGAGAGATGCAGGCTCTGATCAGATCGTCTGATCAGAGCCTGAAGGTTACCTCAGGATCAGCCGGTTTATCAATCTGAACGTCGGAGGAAAGCGGTTCTTCTTCTTCGTCTGTTTTATTTCCTGCTGCCTGCGTCCGCCTCCAGGTTTATGGAGTCATCATTTCTCCTCTTTGAAACGGTTTCTGCCCAGTCGGGGAAATTGAATTTCACCTTCTGCCGGATCGTCACGGAGTTTGATCCCTGAAATTTACAGCATCACCAGTTAGGAGAAACGCTGCTGCAGGCCAAAGCCTGGCTCTCAGACCTTTCATTTCCTCGCTCAGCGTCGTTTCAGACTGGATGGCCTGTAGTTACTGGTTCAGGTTTCATTCCAGCAGGGAGCGCTGTGTGGACTGGTTTATCTGGACTTTCTCTGGTTCTGATCCGGTTCTGATTCGTCTCTGCAGGCGGAGAACTCAGCACTGTCTGTGGAAAACGACAACCAGAGGAAGCAGTACGAACGCTGCTTGGACGAGGTCAGTGATTCGGTGTTCAGGTTTGGGGTCAAAGGTCATTATGAGAATCAGGCTGCTTCTGTGTTTAAAAGTATGAGATTATAAACCATGAATACAGGAGAAGTTCTATCTGACTCCAGTCTGCCTAGTCAAAGTCCAGTTCAGTTGGGGAGGTGTGGATGCTGATCGACCTCTGACCTCTGGTCTGGGTTCAATTGAAGTGAACTCTGATTCAGTTTGAATGTGAACGCGAAGGGGACCAGAAACCTCTCCTAAAGCAGGAAGTGGACGACAGCACAGGGTATTCTGGGTAAATCCAACCAGAGCTAACATGTTAGCCTAGCGTTAGCAGCAGAAATGGCTCCTGGTCTTCAGCCAAAGTCTAAAGAGAAATCACTAAACTCTGACGCCTCCATCTTGTTTCATCTGGTGAAACAAGAAGTTGCTCTCAGTGTCTTCAGAGGTTTTAGTGTCGTTTCCTGCAGTGGTTGGTTTCCCCTCCTGGCCCCCACAGGCCAGGAGGGGAACAGGCTGTTTTCAGAAAAAAGTCCTTTTAGTTTTGTAAACATTTTTCTTACATTTCAGGAAAATTTATGGTTGGTTCCAAGACAGTCTTCTGCGTTATTTAGAAGGATTCTGTGATTTACAGAAAAACTTCTTCAACGTTCTGACAACATTTATAATTTATGATATTAAAATAAGTGTTCATAAAGGCCTTTTGGCAATAATTTCTGACTTACGGCATAATGTCAGAGCCAGACTAAGAGCTCTGCTTATAAGTGTGAGGATAAAGTCATAATTTACCTCCAGAAAGTCACAAAATTAAGAGTAAATGTCATTTCAATGAGATGAAAGCTTGGACAGAGTCAGTTGGAGGTGTCGCCGCCCTGCAGGCTGGTTGCTTTATGAAATGCTGCCTGCGTGAATTTTCTAAACTGAACAGAAATTTGAGATAATTTCTGAAGAATCAGACATGAGAGGAAATCCTGCTGGATCAGACAATCTCTGCTTTCGCTCTGGAAAATTAACAAACTGAATTTGATTTGAGCGAAAGGAAAACAACGCAGGGTTCAGAGAAAAGGTTTTTTTAGACGTTGTGCTGAGGGTAAAGTTTGGATCAGTGGAGGCAGCTGCTGATTGTTTACCTCCAGGTCGACGCTGTGATGCAACATCCTGTCACTTTGAGCTAATCGCTCCTCATTATTTCTGTTTTCCAAAAGAGCTGCAGCTCAGATCTGTGCTAACCTCCCTGTGCTTCCCCCAGGTTGCCAACCAGGTGGTGCAGGCGCTGCTCACGCAAAAGGTTGGTTCCTGCCGCACTCTGAAGAAAGAGCCCAAATGCTTTGAGTTAGCCGGGCTGAAACTGATGGTAGAGACGCAGAAACCTTCATGAACAGAGCATTCAGCTGAAGGCAGCAGAGTTTAGCTTAGCATAGCATAACAAAGCTTAGCTTAGCGTAGCTTTTTACAGATGAAATATTTTAGAAGCTGGTTTTGAAGGGAAAGTGGTGAATCTGTGTTTGTTGCGTCTTCAGGACCTGAAGGAGGAGTGTGTGAAGCTGCGGACCCGCGTGTTCGACCTGGAGCAGCAGAACCGGATCCTGAGCGTTCTGTTTCAGCAACGGGTCAGAACCTCCACCGCTCCCATCTCACAGGTAGGAAGTCACCCTGTTTGAAATGTACTCCCACCAGCATGTTGACCATTAATCAGTGTACTATGCTAATAGCAGAGTATCAACTAAAACTACATTAAAAACAAATTTTTGCTAAAAGTTCTAACATTAGCAGGACGGCTGTCACTGGGATGTTGACAATGTTCTCCATTGAGTTTCGGAGCTAAAGGTTTCAAACTAAAAGATGCTAATGTAAAAGGGTTGGCTAAAGCTGGCATGTTGGCTAACAAGGCATCATGTCAGAGCCAAACTAAGAGCTCTGTCTATAAGTCTTACTTTTTACTTTTTGGTCAAAATAAACTAAACAGGTAATGATGCTGTTTTAGAAATTCTCAATTTGAACAAGAGAGGAAGAAAAAGGAGAAATGAAGGGATGAAGGAGTGATGGAGGGATTGATGAAGGAGTGATGGAGGGATTGATGAAGGAGTGATGGAGGGATTGATGAAGGAGTGATGGAGGGGTTGATGAAGGAGTGATGGAGGGATTGATGAAGGAGTGATGGAGGGATTGATGGAGTGATGGAGGGATTGATGAAGGAGTGATGGAGGGATTGATGAAGGAGTGATGGAGGTATTGATGAAGGAGTGATGGAGGGATTGATGAAGGAGTGATGGAGGGATTGATGAAGGAGTGATGGAGGGATTGATGAAGGAGTGATGGAGGGATTGATGGAGTGATGGAGGGATTGATGAAGGAGTGATGGAGGGATTGATGAAGGAGTGATGGAGGGATTGATGAAGGAGTGATGGAGGTATTGATGAAGGAGTGATGGAGGGATTGATGAAGGAGTGATGGAGGGAGCGTTTTCTCTCCATATCTTCCTGGTTTTGGTCCGTCTTTCGCTCCGGTTCTGGATCTGCTGCCTCCATGTTGGATCGGCCCTCGTTAGCATGCAGCCAATAACTGAGAGAGAATTATGGATGAACCAGTGAAATGGAAAATGTGTTTCTGACTGGAGATACACTTGTTAGCTTCCCTAATCGCTCTGACAGCGCACCTGTTCCCGAAAGGCTGGCTGACTCCGAGTGAGAGCGGAGCGACTTGCCGGGAAGAAAAGTCCAGAGCTGCTCTCTTTGTTCGGCCTGCTTGTTTGCCGTCTTTGGCTTTTTGTTTAAAGATTGTGCAGAGAAGCCGAGGGAGACGGAGAGAACAAACACAGCTGCTGTGTCTGAGGACCGGCTCCGCTCGGCTTCTCCTCCCAGCAGAAAGAGATCCGTAGAAATGTTGTTGTAGAAGCTGCACGCCGACTTCTCTGTAATGAAATCCCAGCAGCAAAACCCAGGCTGCTGGTGTCCCTGATGGTTCTGGATCTTTTTCTCAAATAGACTTGTCCTTCCACTAAACTTTCCATTGGTAAGCTTAGCTTTAGCACTGACCTGCTGGACATCCATCAGGTCAGAACAGGGATTCCCAAAGTGTGGGTCGAGGGCCTGAGGTAGCCCCTCTGGTGTTATTCTACTAAATAATGACAACTGGCTGAACCGCTCTGCAGGGAGGGAATATTTATACAATTTGACTGAAATCTTGTTTTCAGTCAGAAACAAAAACATGTTTTATTGCTCCAGGTTGATTATCAAAAGCAGTCTGAGCCAATGTTCCCTCTAATTTTTCATGTGTCTGGGCGTACACACAAGCTTCCTGAACACACTGCGGACCACTGTGAGCATCATCAGTGTACACGGCGTGGCCACGCACAAGTATCATAAATCTGGGATCATAGAAAGTTGCATGGCTTATTAAAAAAATCATATTACATCAGCAATTTTCATTCGTTTGCTTTTAATTTAAGTGATTTGCTCAATTAAAATTAAAAAAAAGAAAAGAAAACATTGCTGTTCATGAGATGCATGCTATAAGTAAGAGTCCTGCTTCAGCCAGGGTGAGATCTTAGAAGAAGTGCATTTCTTTTTTTTTTACTTTGTCTTGGTGAGTGGATGTCCCACTAGACATGATAAGGTGATGGCTTTCACGTTTTTTAACTCTACCGCTCTATTCTCACCTGCACGGCCATATGACCAAGGCACGTAACCCACGTAGCGAAAGTGAACCGTATCGTATCATTGGCTGGATTCCTGTCACTCACTGAGTTCGATCGCAAAGTAGTACGGAAAAAATTTATTGGTCCATAGTCAAAACTGATGTCTGAGCTCAATGTCCACTTTACGTTGGACTTTATTTTATGCGCTACATAGATTTTCTTGTGCGCTGAGAAGATGTGAGCAGAGCGCGATTGCGCAGGCGCAGCTTAGAGGGAACATTGGTCTGAGGGTGTGAATACTGTTTATAGGCACTGGTTTCCTTCCTCCTCCTCCTAAAGACTCAGTGAAGTTGGGGTGAGCAGGGCCTGATGTAGAAGGATGTGACCCTGGGCTGGTTTTGGTGCCGTATCCCTGGGTAACGCTACATCAGGTTTAAATGTCTGCTAGCCAATAGCTCCAGGTTGTCCCAGAAAATGCACCGTTACTTCAAAGTTTTCAATTTCTAGAGCCATTTTATATCAATGTTTCATTGATATAAAATGCTACATATGTCTAGTATCACTTAAATTTGACTTTCTGATGTAAAGCTTTTAAAATTGGGCCTCTGTCTCTTTAAAAACTCCTGCTCTTCCTGAAGCTCCGCCTCCAGGAAGTCATCCAACATGGCTCCTCTATTAACCCTTTAACGGTTTTACCAGTGTTGCTCTGAGCAGCAGCTCCTTTCATGAGCTCAGCAGCTGATTGCTAATTGCTGCTGGCTAGTCTGAAGGAGCAGAGTGGGGGAGGAGCTGCGCCTGGAAGGCGGAGCTAAGTCCATACAGTTGTTTTGCAGCTGAATGGTTGCCATGGAGATTGAAAAGCAAAACTCTATGATGGAAAGATTGAGAGTGGATTTTAAATGACGCAATTCAGCTGATGTGAGTTTTATATGAAGTAAAATGTTTGCAATATTTTATATATTTTGATGAAAATATTCATAAATTAATAATAAATAAAAGAAGCCAAGTCTGCAGCTTCTGTCCCAGTAAATATGGACTAACTGAAGGCGGCCATTAGCCCCAGCAGCCATCGTGTTTCTGAGTCCCAGGTAAACCATCGGGTGTTTAAATCTGCTCTTAATGCGCCTTAATGCTGCAGAGCCGGAGCGCTGCTCATTCACACATTAAGAGAAAAGCACTGCGCTTCCTTCCTGGGGAATATTTCAAAAGCTTTTACTGAAAACTGGGAGATGAAGCAAAAAAGATTTGTTAAAAGCAGAATGAAACGCGGCGGTAATAACAGCCTGATGTTCCCTCTAAAAACAGGGATTAATAAAAACAACTGCAGCGTATCGAATGATGAAAATGATTCTCTGCTGCATCAAAAAGGTCTGAAAACATGAAGTTCAGCCGGGAAAACAGCTCAGCTGCTCTGACTTTCAGCTCCGACTCAAGGTTTCCTTAAACTGTTTGGCTTTTGTCAAATCTCCAGTAGCGTCGCCGCGCTGACTGTAATTAGCTTCCAGATTAATCTGCGTCGGCGCGACATAAAGCCAACTAGTCAAATAATAGGTGAGTATCAGCTCTGAATGGCTGCAGTCCCCAGATCCCCCATGCAATTATTTCCTATTCACATTAATTATTACTAACAGATGACTCTAATGACTTTGAGAGGAAGCTGACCATGACAGCTTTCCAAACGATCAATACTGCTTCAAATGGGGTCGCAACACTTGGAAACGCTGCGTATTTAACAGATCTGTGAACAAGAGACGCTCCGCTTCCTGCTCTACACAAAAACATGGCTCAGGAAATCAAACAGCCCATTTAAATCCAGGAAAATAAAGTTTTTCCTAATTTCACCTTGTCAGGCTGCAGCTCTGAACTTTTACCGACCTGGAAAACTGTGGGATTTGAATCTGTTGCTGTGGTGACTTAACTCCAAACATCAACCAGTGGCGCTCACTGATAACAGCTGAGATCACTTTTCATTTTGCACTTTTGCTAGTTTTGAAAACGTTTTGCGCACTAATAAATATTTCCAGATAAACTCCAAAATGTTAATCTACTTGGTGATTTTGCTTTCAATTAAAGTTCAACATTTTTGTTGCCGTTTTGGTTAACGCCTTTAAAAATGTTCCAGTAGTTAGATGTTTATACTCAAGCTCTTATTTTGAACTTGGTAACAACCTTTGGCAGCGGTTCCATTTCCTCTCCTCACATTCTCTTTTCTCCCAGTAACTGAAACGAAAACATGAATGAAACACCAGTAGAGAAACTGGTGCTTGGTGGGTTCAGTCTTTCAACATATGATTTCTATTATAGCGCTTTACATGCTGTGTTGGTGTAGCGCTTTAGCATTAGCTTCTGCTAACTATCATGTTGGTGTAGCATATTAGCATTAGCTTGTGCTGAACACCATATTGGTGTAGCGCTTTAGCGATAGCTTCTGCTAACTATCATGTTGATGTAGCATATTAGCATTAGCTTGTGCTGAACACCATATTGGTGTAGCGCTTTAGCAATAGCTTCTGCTAACTATCATGTTGGTGTAGCATATTAGCATTAGCTTGTGCTGAACACCATATTGGTGTAGCGCTTTAGCGATAGCTTCTGCTAACTATCATGTTGGTGTAGCATATTAGCATTAGCTTGTGCTGAATATCATGTTGGTGTAGCGCTTTAGCGATAGCTTCTGCTAGCTTTCATGCTGGTGTAGCATGTTAGCATTAGCTTGTGCTGAACACCATATTGGTGTAGCGCTTTAGCGATAGCTTCTGCTAACTATTATGTTGGTGTAGCATATTAGCATTAGCTTGTGCTGAACACCATATTGGTGTAGCACTTTAATGATAGCTTCTGCTAACTATCATGTTGGTATAGCATATTAGCATTAGCTTGTGCTGAACACCATATTGGTGTAGCGCTTTAGCGATAGCTTCTGCTAACTATCATGTTGGCGTAGCATATTAGCATTAGCTTGTGCTGAACACCATATTGGTGTAGCGCTTTAGCAATAGCTTCTGCTAACTATCATGTTGGTGTAGCATATTAGCATTAGCTTGTGCTGAACACCATATTGGTGTAGCGCTTTAGCGATAGCTTCTGCTAACTATCATGTTGGTGTAGCATATTAGCATTAGCTTGTGCTGAACACCATATTGGTGTAGCGCTTTAGCGATAGCGTCTGCTAACTATCATGTTGGTGTAGCATATTAGCATTAGCTTGTGCTGAACACCATATTGGTGTAGCGCTTTAGCGATAGCTTCTGCTAACAATCATGTTGGTGTAGCATATTAGCATTAGCTTGTGCTGAATATCATGTTGGTGTAGCGCTTTAACGATAGCTTCTGCTAGCTATCATGCTGGTGTAGCATGTTAGCATTAGCTTGTGCTGAACACCATATTGGTGTAGCGCTTTAGCGCTGGCAGAATTAATGTTTATGTTATAGTGCAGCTAACGTTTTACTTGTTACCAGAGTAATTAGTGTTTAAGCTTCTGATTTTGGTAAACATCGACAGGAAACGGAGACAGACTCAGACAGGGTTGGACTTTTCCAAGTCACCTGAAAACATGGAGACCGACCATCAGACTCTAATGGAGAGAGAACAGCTGGTTGGTTCTGGATCAGTTTTTTGTTTTGGACCGAAACAACAAACTTCATCTCCTGCTGTTATGCAGAAAACCTCAGACTCAATTCAGTTAGTGGCAGCTTCAGTAAAAACAGATAAATATTTACTATGAAATGTGTCTCTCATGATCAGATGTGTGCTTTATTGTGAGCGGTTCGTCTCTTCTGTTTTAGTTTAATTGGTTTGGTAGTCGACAGAAAACCAACCGTCAACTAGGCAACAGAGTCTTCCCTGTGATTTTCAGTGGTTGATTACTTCTAAAATCTTTCCCAGGAGGTCCAAAGAAATGGAAAAGCAAGAAGTATTGCTGCAGGAAGATGGCCCAGCCTGCTGAGCCTGACTTGCCCACGAAGCAGCGGCAGTGGCAGTGAGCAGTCTCTGTCCAGTGCTTGCAGTGAATACTCCAGTGGTTCCCACACCTGGGCTGACGGACGCGGCTTCTCCAAGCAAGTACGTTTCTTGTTTTGTTTTGTGCTGGTCTTATTTTCTATCTTTAACTTGCGTTGTAAAGATCGATAAAACGGTTGCTAATGTCTCCACAGTGTGCCTCCAGCCGGGACAAGCGTATGAGCACTGGCTCAGTATCCAGCAATCATTCAGTGTTCATTGAGCCAACGGACTTGGGATGGAAGGAGGGCCATATCCTGAAAGGCCTGAAGCATCTCCAGATGAGCAAGTCCAAAGAGGCAACCTCAGCTGCAGCTGTTCCACACTGCAAAGACTGCATGACCTCAAATGAGGGAATTTACTCCTCTGGTGTCAAGTCACACCAACAAGGCTCTCCAGCGAAGAAAAGTTCAACAAGAAAACCTTTGACAGCTGAGCCGCAGGCCTCCATCTTGGACTCTGATGATCCAGATGAATTTGGCGAACAATCAACAAAAACACGTCTTCATTTGGACTCATTGGAGATTTCTGCGGATGATGACAAAGTTTCTCATGAAGACTCAATTCTTCCAGCCAGCTCTGGTCTCTTCCCCTCACCCGACTCTGACAACTTCCTGTTTTTAGGGGCCCCCACCGTTAAACCTGGTGTGAGTCCAACTGATAGCCTCACAAAGTCTGAGGGACTCAACAGGAACTCATTAGATAAACGCATATCAGGAGTGAAGCTCAGCGACAGGAATAATAACCAAGAACTGGCCACTGACCGTAAATCCAGACTGGACTGTAGCCACAGACAGCAAGGCAGACTCTCTATCAAGCAAACAGAAGCAGAGGTAAATGATGTGAGCTCCTCAGCTCAGCGTTCTGCAACCAGAGCTCTGAGCTGCATGAATGAAGCCAGACAGCGAAGCGCTTCAATGGAAGTGCCCCACTGCAGAGACCATTCAAATCCAGCCGGTGGGGACAGCAGGGACTGGATCAGCTCAGAATCTCCACAGAGGAAACCAAAACCTCAGTTTTGTGACTCAGCAAGGAAAGCTTTCATTCTGAGAAGCAAGAGTGCAGATGGAGGCCAAGATCAGCTTAAACATACCTATTCTCCTCTACATCAGAAGCTCATCAAGGGTCAAAGACCCAAAGGACAGGTGACTTCTTCAGGACACGGTGTGCCCAGCAAACGGGCCAACCCTCATGGTTCCAGCAAATGTAACTTACCTAAAACTGACAAAGATCAAGATGTTTCAATGCCAGTCGGCTCCAAGTGTGTTGAGAGTATGCAACAGCTGTCTCCGCTTGCATCTCCTGTGAAACAGTCAAAGATTCTTAAGTCACCAGGCATCAAGGACAGCCTGAAGAGTCCAACAAAACCATCAACTAGAGTCTCAAGCAATGACTGTGCTGAAGAGAGCATCTATGACAACCTGCCCTGTTCACCGAGGAAACAGAGACGGCAAGAAGACCAGGGAGATTCGTTCACATCAGAGCGAAGGTCTCCGTCGCCACCGCTACCACCAGGTCGAACTACTTCTCTTCTCCTTAAAGCCGGCTCCGACGGCACAACCAAAGACAAAAAACTGGCAACTCAGCCTCAAAGCTCAACCACTGGCAAGCCATCAACAGTTACTGACTTCAGTTCTGGTTTAGAGACTCAGCAGTCCAACATCACAAAAGATAATCAACTTGCTGACCTGCAAATAAGAGACATCTCCATCAAAACCTTCCTTACCGATGGGTCAAAGATTCCTCACCTCCCCGTTCAAGAGTCACAATCATCAGACTCAATTCAGACGGACAGAATCACCAAATGCCGCAATGAGAATGGATCGACAAACCGGAACATCCTACAGAGATCCCAGCAGAGCATTAGTGAGCCAAAGCTTTCTGAAGTCCTGCCTACAGGTTTCTCTAATGTTTACTACCACGGGGTTCCCAGTAATCTCCACACATCCTCCTCAAATGCTGTGAAAAGGACACTTCCTGTGAATGCTAAGTCTCACGACGCAATCTCTGGACAGAACACCAGTACCTTCTTGATCTTTGGGAGGCAGAGTAATGACGATCCAAACAGTCTGCAAACTTTTCAAACATTCACATGCGATCCCCAAGTGATGCATGAATTTGGTTCACGAGAGAAGTCTTGCCGGAAGATTGAGACCCGCTGCAACTCCCTGGACTCTGAGCCTCTCCAGCCAACATCTGACGCCAGCGGGATGTTGGACTGGGGCTTCGATGAGCAAGGCTGGCTGTTTAAACGCTCTGTGTCTGTGTCGACCAGACCTCTTCTCAAACCAGTGATGGGCATGAATGGAGCTAAAGCTCGCAGTCAGAGCTTTGGTGCACGCTACATGGACAGACCGAGCTTCAACAGATCTGGAAAGGTCCGGACCCAGATCAAAACCCATTCAGGGAGCTCGCTGAACTCTCTTGGGGATGTCCTTCCCGGTAGCATGAGCTGCTCCAGTAGCTACCACTGTCCAATGAATCGATCCCTTCTGAACAACTTTCTGATTGAGGAAGGACTGACAGTCCCGTCACATCTGGGTTCATCCAGTGAAAGACTTCAAAGTCTTAAGCTGCAGAGAGAGCAGGCGAGGCGCCTTCAGATCGAGCAGCAGTTTTCCAGCGCATTTGGTGAGCCGGTCTCCGAGGAACCCGAGAGACAAAGCACCATAACCACCATCGAAGAGAAGGTGATGCTTGGCATTGAGGAGAACTTGCACAAGTCACAGGAACATGAAAAAACGAACGAAGTAAAGCAAAAGTCTGGCTCTAGCATTGCAAGTTGGTTTGGTTTCCGTAAGAGTAAACTTCCGGCTCCAAGCAACAAAAAGATGGATCCACCAAAAGGAAAGGAAGAAAAGCGGGAACAGAAGATTACATCTCTGCTGGGAGGAAAGAGTACAAGTCAGACAAGAAGAAAGACAGACGAAAAAGTGATGGAAAAGAATGGTAAGACACACAGACACATCCTCTCAGCATGATGGGTCCATTAGAGCGTCACACATTGTGATAGTTGAGTAAATCGCCGGCTTCCTGAGTTCATATGACAGGAAAGGTTTTCTTTCAGCTCTGTGGGAATAAGAGAGCCCCATGATGCAGTTCGGTCCTGCATCTCGATTCCTGGTCCAGGAATGTCCCTCTCTGAGGTCCAAGGACATGCAAGCATCTTAGTGGAGCCCCAGGTAAGACTTTGAATGGTCCAACTGGACTCTTATCCATTTTTAAAGGTTTTATTGGCTCTAGTGGCCTTTATTGATAGTGAATTGACAGAAAAGTGGTAATGAGAGACGGAGAAGAGGACCGAGACCAGCTCAGAAACTGGGTCTGGCCCGGTTAAAGGGAACCAGGTTGGTTCCAGTGACTTACAAGGTTGAAGATATCAGTGAAGAAACGAAGCACGTCTTGTGACGGATCATTCTGGTTTCTCTGCAGATGATGAACCGAAGACCTGACGGTGAAAATGGATCCAGTGTGAGGAGCCAGGACGCAGTCATAGGTCAGCCTCTTCCTGGGCCTGCTGCCGGGTCGAGTGTTCAGTCGTAGACAGCACCTAAATGTCCTGATTTCTTTAAAAGCATCGTGACGAGTTGGTTTGTGACCAATGGTGGAGCGTCCAGGCATTGAGGTTTTGTCTGTGCTTGCCATTTTACAGTTTGCAGACAGAAGTGAAGACCAAATATGACAGACGTGTGTAAGTCATGAAACATGATGAAAACCCTAAAATCAGTCAAACAAACTGCAAAATGCTGAGTTCTGTCAGTTTGTGTTTCTCCATTCATCCACCGTTCATCTGATCAGTTCCTGATTCAAACCATCTCAGCCTCCAGCGATCAGATTCTGCTCCAACATCATCCACCTGGTTTAACCTCCATCCTCACACATCCACGCGCTAACGTTCGCTAGCATTTGCTAGCATCTGCTAGTGTTTGCTAATGTTTGCTAATGAAGTGTCGTTACGTTACTCAGCCAGAGAACTGCAGGGAGCTTTGGGACAATTTCTGCTGTTTAAAACCACAAGTCTGACGTTTTGTTGAGGTTTATGTTGTTGACAGAATCAGTTGTTTGAAATGGTAAAATACACAATAACTTGCTTAATTTTGTAAAAACGGTTTTTATGCTTGCTTGACTTTGTTTTGGATTAGATATGCTAACGTGGAAACATATTCATCAAAACGTTGTGATGTATTGATCCGCTGGGGTCTGTGCCTTACCAGAGGAACCAAACTCTGAGAAATGAAAAGGTCTAATTAATCCCAATTGAAAACCAGATTCTGACAAAATCAGCAACATTTTTAATTCAAAACCTTTTATTCCTAAATTATTAAATAAACATCCGTCAGAGCTGAATATTTCTAGTTTTAATCTTTTCTTCATACATCAGCTTGGATCAAAGAGCTTCAGGAAGCTCTGATCAGTCATGGAGCTTCTTTAGTAATGTGGATGCTAACATTAGCATTAGCTGCTACATGTTAACATTGAGATCCTATTTCAAGCTAGCATAACTTCACTAATAGGCTAACTGCTTTTGGCATAATTTGCACACTACAGCAATATTTTCCAGGGTCCAATCAAATCGCTTAGAAGAAGAAATTGAGAAGCAGCTTTATCGCGAATGTTAGCGCATGTGCATCAGATTTACGGCTGTACCAGAAACATGTGAATACAAAAGTTCCTGCCTGAAAAGTTTAACGCATTAAAATCAATGTATTCAGTTGATCAAGTTGAACATGTTAAAGATCCGTCACTCATTTGAATGCAAATCTAATCAACAGCTTTCAGATTTTCATTAATCACAGAGGAAGTTATGAGTCATTTTCCTTTATTTCTCCGTCTGTTACATAAAATCCCATCGGATGAAACGGAGTTTGTAGCTGGAACGACATCAGCTGAATCAGTTTAAGAGAAACTGTTTTCCAGCTGCTGGCTGCTCCTTTATGACTGGACGTTATTGGATGGTACTGTTAAAGTCTGGTTTTCTACTGATGAAAGGTTCCTATTGGCCCGTCGTCCATCACGTTGTGGTTCAGATCCGATTCCTGATCCAACCCGTTCCACTCGCTGCTGACGGCTGGAGCAAAGCGGCAGTGAACATTTATTTGTTCTGGTTTTAGTGTCGCTTTGTGCAGCAGCTTGTTGAAGTTTTCTCACAGGCGGCGCTGGAACCTGATTGGCTGGCGGAGGGAACATTAGCCGACCTCCGGGGTTAATCACCTCATTAAAACTTCAGCTCTGCTCCGTCAGCCGAGAGAATTAGCTTTCAGCTCCGGATGATTTTAACACCAGACCAGGAGAAAACATCACCTTCACTTAATTCAGTAAACCCAGAGAGGAAGTTAAAACTTTCCATTATCCAATTACCTCCAACTGCATTTCTCACATAATAATCGAGGCTTTGACTGATTTATTTATTCAGGTTTCCCTTCAGGAGGGAATCATAAAAGGTTTAAGAACCACAATTAAAACACACATTGACATTTTTCTCACATTGTGAAGTTAAATCTGACCAAACTCCTATTGATCAGGTTAGTAAGAATTTATAAATGATTTATTTTTGATTAAAGCCAGAAAACTTCTTAGATACATATTTATTCTTTTAATTAATGTTTTTTAATCTTGTATTGTGTTTTATTTTTACTTATTTTTTAAATGTTTTAATAAAATTCTTTTTCATTAATTACAATTTCTTTAATCATTAAAAGATTTTTTATCCTGGGAAGAATCTTCCCCTGGTCTTCAGATGGTTTGGGGGACCTTTGACCCTTGCTGATTCTATGTTGGTCAGGGTTTAAATGATGGGATGTGAATCTGATGAGTTTGGATAAAAACGGATAAATTGAGGCGACGAGGAAACAGAACTGGAAATATCAGTTTAAACGTCTGTCGGACTTTCAGGCGTTTTCAGGAAAAACCTCAGCGATGTTCTGGGATTCAGCGCCGCCTGAAGAAAAACCCTGCAGAGGAAACACTGCAGGCTAACTGGATGCTAATTTAATGCTAGCTTTTTTCTCTGGATTCCTGCCATGTGTTTATTTGTTTTGTTAGTGAAGTCGGTCTCTGGATGCCTCTGACCTGTAAAACCATCAATAGTTTGTTGAGTTACAGAAAAAACATTTCGTTCACGCCATGCTGAACCATTGTGTGCATTTCATGTTTGTGGTCAGAGCATGCTAACACTCATTAGCATCGTTCAGACAGAGCGGCGGTTAAAGTGGCTCATATCTGGATCTTATTCTCATTTTGTGATGAAGCATGAAATATTTTGGGCTTTAACTCAAACTTCCACCAAACTGAGGAAAACCAGGAGGCAGAGAGGAAAGTATCTGACCCACTGAAAATGTTTTGTATTCATCATAAAGAACCCAGAGTTGTTCTGTCAATCTGCCTCCTTCTCCATTTCTACTCTGAAATCAATCAGATTTAATTTGTAAAGTGATTGTATTAATTTTCCTCTTGGTTAATTACATCGTTCATAAACACATTTCAAAGCTTCAGCCATGCTTCCATGCTCTTCCATCCTGCCAACTGTTTGTGGATAGCTGCTAGCGGCTAGCTCCCTAGCTGCTAGCGGCTAGCTCCCTAGCTGCTAGCGGCTAGCTCCCTAGCTGCTAGCGGCTAGCCCCCTAGCTGCTAGCGGCTAGCCCCCTAGCTGCTAGCGGCTAGCTCCCTAGCTGCTAGCGGCTAGCTCCCTAGCTGCTAGCGGCTAGCTCCCTAGCTGCTAGCGGCTAGCTCCCTGTGGGCCTCCTGAGCCACTGCAGCTGTCCTCCTTGTGCCGCAGGATCGCGCCGCGCCATGCGGACGCTGGACAGCGGAATCGGGACCATTCCTCTCCCAGAGTCCTGCTCCTTCTTCTCCTCCATCCTCAGTTTCCTTCCCAAATCCTCGTCGACCCCGAGCAGTCGCTTAGCCCTCCCAGTGTTCCCGGTTCCTCCAGTGAAGACGTGTCCCCGTCCCCGTTGCCCCGGTGGAGAGTCCCGTCCAGCGGCAGGGACGGCGGCCGCTCAGGCCTCCCCGCCTCCCTGTCCGACTCCTCCATGATCCCGTCGGTGCCTTTCCCCACCGTGGCCTTCCTCCAGCCCTCGTCTCCCCCCATTGTGACCCCAGCCAGTGTGTGTGACACCCAGAGCAGGCTGCCCAGACCGCCCAGAGGTAACGCCGTTAACGCAGAGACCTGAAGGGCAACAGCAGCAGGTCAAATCAGGTTCAGCCAGGAGGCATCAGGCTACAGGTCACAGCTAGCATAGCGGCCGTGTTGACGCTGTAGGATGCTGTTAGCTTACGCTAAATCCTTTAGCTTAAAGGATTGAGCTAATTTGTTGTCTTAAGCAATGAGACAAATATTTTAGCGTAAATCATCAACCTAAATATTTTACCTAGTACTAACATGTGCTAAGTTAATAAATTAATTTAGCGCAAGTATCTGCGTTATAATTACTTGTAGTTAACAAATAATTGGCATTGGCACAACAACTCCTTGTTGTGGAAACAAGTAACAATGTGTCAAGCTAATGTTACCAAAAGCTAAATTATTAGCTTGAATGTTTTCATTTATGTTAGCTTAAGCTAACTCCTTTGGCAAACATGGTTGCCACATTATGAACTAAAAGCTAAAGAACCCCTTGCTAATGTGACCTGATACTAACATATTTGACGGTTAGCTTAAGCTAAATCGCTATGCTAAGGCATTAGGTTAATATTTTCAGTGGCTAAATTGTTCAGCTAAATATTTTAGCTAGTATTATCTCGGGCAAAATAAATAGGCTAAAGCTGTTAGCGTAATAGTTACCACAGATAAAGAATGACTGAATGTTTGAAATAAATAACTTAAAGTTGGAGCTTTAGTCCACAGTTTTAATATCTTTTTCAATAAAATATTTACCTACAGGTAAGAAATATGTAGGTAATATAAGGATTGAGCTAAATATTGCAGTTAGAGTAATAAATATGAACTCCTTTCTTTTTTTTTCTCCAGTTGAAGCAGCCAAAGCTAAATTTTATTGTAATTTTTATCTTTCCACTTTCATTTTAAATGCTCAAACTGAAGCCAAAACTAGATGTAATCTTGTCTATAATTATTGCAACAAAACTATAAAACCTAAAGGTTGTTTGAATTTAAATCACAGTTTTCACAGTTGCGTTTCCCTAACTGTTTAAAAATATAATAATCTGTAAATGTTAATGACATAAATTTGTAGAAATGTTTCCTCGATTAAAAGCTGACATTGATTTATTTTCTGTTTTCCAGGTGGGACGGAACCAAAGAAGCTGAATCACATCAAACCCAAACCGCGATCCACGGCGAACCAACCGCAGGAGCCGAGCCGCCTGCAGCTGGCAAACTGTGAGGAGGCGAGGAGCGCAGAGCATTTAGTCACCTTTAGTCACCTTTAGTCACTGGTTTTACAAGGATATTATCAGTTTATTATCAGGTTATTATCATGTTATTATCAGAGTTACATGGACCTCCAGCTCTTTAGTCTTGGGATGTTGGATCAGTTTCTCTGCAGGAGCCCAGAAAGATTTGCTCCAGCCTTTATCTGCTGCTGGCGATAATCAAAACTGTTTCCTCTCCAGAAACTCAGAGCTGCCTGAAAACTGAACTGTGCTTAAAAAGGCTTTCCATTAAATTTCCATCTTCACAGAGAGGAGAGCTTAATGTCCGCCGGCAGCTGAGCGCTTGACTAACGCTCCCAAACATCCCCCTCCGACTGCAGCACAGCAGTACGGCAGGCCCATTTAACATTAAATCAGCTTCACCACTTACATCTGAAACTTATTGATGATATCTTAATTAATTTATTGCTGATATATTCCCACTAATTAGCATCAGAGTTACCACTGAAGCTTTAATTTCAAAATATCTACAATAAATTACTATCTGAAACATTTCAGATGTCAGAAATTAAATAGTCATAAAGTGAATTTGAAATATTTCACATTTTGTTCTGACCAGTTATAATCACAATTATAGATATTTTAAATGTATTTTAGACAGATATGTAAGATTCAACCAGTGCAAAGAGCTAATGATGATTCAGCAAAACTGAATACTCTGTAATTTTTATTTCTATCTTTTTATTAAGAAATCTCCAAATTTAATAAAACTGTTTTTCTATTTAATTATTAACATCCTGACTGTTCAGAATGACATTACTGATGTTTTTAATAATTATTCTGATTTAGCATTTTTAAATTTCAATTAAAAAATTAAATCAAAAAAGATTTTTAATTTCAGCTTGTTAATTTCATCTCTTCAGATCTGTTTTTAATTTAATTATTTGTGTCTTTTTAGAGAATAAATGTCAATTCTTTGCAAATTTATGTAATTCTGACTCATCGTTGTATTAATCTCTAGTTGTGATTATGGATGTGTGACCCATCAGGATGAATTATGTCATCTGTGAAAAGCAGAAATCTTACATTTTCAACAGGATGGTTCATGTTTTTGATTTTATTCAAAACTCATTTTTATATATTTGGAATGTAATTCCAGATAGTCAGACTGAGCTGATTTTATGTTAAATCGGCTTGCCATAGCTGCGGTTGTAGCTGAATGTGATGGTTTTTTTCAGGGCTCCTGTCTCTTTAAGACACAGGTGTCAAACTCCACACCTGGGGATCACAACATTTAGGAGGTAATTCATATAAAAATGAATCTGTTTGATTCCAGTGTTTGGCAGCTGTGGCTCATCGAAAACTGGAGGACTGGAGTATTTCATTTAGGGGACTCTGCTCTGTTTACAGCGGCGGCCATCTTTGTGTTTTCACCAACGCTCCATTTGACAAATCGGGACAGTATTTTTGTTTAGTTATTTAAGGCTGGGATGAAAATGATGCAACGTCTTTTCAATGCAAAGCAAAACATCGTGATGCAACTACAGGATGGTGAAATGAAAATCACAAACTACTCATATTGAAATTTAATCCTGCATCATTTCTGGAACCGAACCGAACTATACCAGTTCATTTTCTACTGGATTCATGTTTACACGTGTTAACCCTTCATTCGTCCTCCGTGTTTTACTGCAGAGATCCTGAAGCTGGAAGATCCGCTGCAGGAAACCCTCACCTTAAAGACGCAGCGTCGGCCAATCAGGATGCAGGACAGCGCTCTGCTTCCTGTTCTCAGACATGTTGGAGGGCTGCAGCGCTCTGCGTCTGGCTGCTAAGATGAATCCTAAAACTCTCCTCCAAAACGTTCTGGTCTAGTCAAATCCTCTTCATCACGCTGAGGACGAAGTGGCAGCTAGCGGCGTTCTAATGTAGCATTGTGTAAATAACAGCAGAGGTTCATTTCTATCAGCTTCATATCATCAACTTCAGAATCAGATTTCAGCTGTTTTACTTTTTCGTTCCGGCTGAAACAAAACCACCAAACCTAAAGCTGCTGATGTCACAGCAGACGCAGCTTTCTGCTCACCTGCCAGGTAGGAACTCACCTTTACGTCAGACTGAATGTTTTTCAGTTTCCTGTCCTAAAACAGTAGCATTTCACTGCTTGTTCCCAGTGATCAGGCTAACTAGCATTAGCAATACAAACATTTAGAAGGAGCCGTTTTCTACAGATGCTACTTGATTTATTATGAAATAAACGATAATCAATTACTACGGTTGAAACTTATCACCCTAGAATAATAAAACCTTAAATTCTGCTGGACAGAATAATGAAGAGACAAACGGCTAAAATTCTGAAGGGGAAAAATAGAATTAGCATGCTAATGTTAGCATCGGCTAACTACTGTTTTCTGTTTTATATTAATTGCAGATAATTTTTTGCACTATTTGAACTTACTTTATGATTTTACCATAAAAGACATGAATCCATTTTATTTTGTGTTAAATATAAAATAAGTTAGCATTGACATTAGCATGCTAACAATAGAACTTCTTATTTATTTTGATAAAATGTTGAAACTGATCAATCAATAAAATCTATAAATTACTCATCTGGATGCCAGCTGATGATGAGAATCGTCTCACTGTTTCAGACATCCAGGAACAAATTGAGCAATGTTTTCTACCAGATGCTATCATTACTGTTAGCGGTTACTGGAAGGTTTAAAACATTAAAATTTCTTATATGATTTCTGAACAATAAGTTAAATTCTACAAAACAAACTGATAAAAATACAAACTGCTGAAAGTTTAAGGGAATTATTCTGTGAATGCATCTTAACGTTAGCATGCTAACGTTGAGGTTAATTTTCCTTTTCTGTGCGTATCATATTTCTGGTTACATTATTTAGGTTTTATTTTTTTGCACTGTTTGAACTTATTTCATGGTTTGATTATTGATCAAATTTAACATGAAAGAAAATTAGCTTTCAGATTAGCTTTCTAACATTAGCATTAGCACACACTCTTACTTATTTTGATAAAAACTTTAGACATGTTCAAACAAATCCACCAATAAAATGTATAAATTATTTATATTGCATAACCTAAATTCACCTTAGCTAGAAAAATGAGCTACAATATTTTGTGAAAGTTTACAGAAGATTTATATTTGCATAAAAACGTCCAGCCAACAATAGCATCCAAATTAAACTTTTCCTGACTAAGAACATTTATTACTAAATGAATCATAAATGAATCATTTCCCCACATGAAGCTGAGTCTGATCAGGAACCACAGGAAGTGGTTCTGCTACTTCCTGTCCTCCTTTGCTTCTTCTTGGGTTTTTAGCTCAAGGTTTCCACGACCTTCAGCTGTTTGGGGTGAAAAATATTCTGATGAAAATCTGGAGGATAAAAGTTCAGATATTTTCCAACACAGCAGAGGCTAAACGGATCTGAGGGGATTATTGGTTATTGATTATTGAAGTGTTGTTCTGCTGAGGCTGATGAGTTGTCAGTATCCGACTGTTCAGATTTCTGTCATCTTAAAATAACTTCAAACTGTTCATGTAAATATTGCTTAATAAACCATGTTCACTTTTTATTTTAAAATCACTGCAGGTTTCAATGTTACCAATAAAAAGTCATGAAATATTATCAGATTAACATTAATGATGCAATATCTGATCATAAACTGTGTAAATGTAATGTATTTGGTCAAATGTTTATTTGATAACATTGGTGGTTTAATTTCTGAATTCATGTTTGTGAATATAAAACAAAGAAAAACATCATCAGTAAACAAGGTGAATATTATGTTTGCAAAGTTAAGCATTAACAGAAATATCACAAAATCCTGTAAATATTTAATATTCATGCTACAAACATTTAGCAGCATCTGGTCTGCTAAATGACCGGAGCCCGATCCCGACCCGGTTCTCCGGTTCACTGCCGGGTCCAGAAACCTGGGATCAAGTTTTTACATTAACCGCTTTCAGAATTGTTTCAAGATGGCCGACTGACGAACTGGTTCAGAAACGGGTAAGATACTGCCTCCTCACAGCCGCTCTGCAGAACTCTGAACTGTCCCTTTAAGGCAGGACTTCATGACTCATTTCCTGTTTGTGTGACGGTGTGAATCTGATTTCTGTAAATGCTGAACTCCTGGACGATGTGAATATTTTGGTGTTTAAACTTTTTCTCTCCTCTGCTTCACTGCTGCTTCGATTCAACCGAAACCATCCAGTGGAGGAACGGTTTCCGCGCTGCGCACAGCGATGATGTCATCACTACGCCACAGTGATGACATCATCGCTTCACAGTGATGACATCAGAAGGACGGTTCGTTAGGAGTCTTTTTGCTCAGGGAATTGAACCAGTAACCTTCTGATAGATGCTGTGGATTCACTCAGACATGGAAACAGATCCAGGATCTTCTGACTCTCTAGAACAACGAATCGATTTTATCGAATCGTTTTTAATGTTTGGCTGTTTCTTCTTGTTTCCTGTTTTCAGCTGAGCCACGTATCAGAGCCATTTCCTGCTGGAACATTTAAAGTCACGGCGCTCCGTCACGTTGCACGCTCTCACCCGCTCCACTAGCTCACGCGCTGCATGTTTTAGTGTTTCAGCTGAAAAGTCCCGATCCGTTTTCACTTCCAGACTCAAAAAATAACTCTGGGGGATTTTTAAAAATATTTTCTTTTCAAGTCCAACATTAAGAATGATTGAGATGTGAAGAACCCAAAGAATAAATCAGTTTTATGGTGAAAAATATCAGCTGACTCAGCAAAGTACTGGCTTTAAATCGGTGACAATTGCCAGTAAATAATTAATTAGTGTTTTTAAGATTATTTTCTTAAACTCCTCAGATACAGCAATTTGGAGTTAAATGTCAGATTCAGACAACCTAAAACATCCAAACGTCACACAAATAGGAGAAAGACGAGAGTTTTTAGATTTACTGGCAAGGAGAACGGAAAGCAGCGTTCTTCACTTCCAATCTCCTCCCACTCTGCAGCGCGTTCTGCAGCGCGTTCTGCAGCACCCTCTCTTTTTATTTCCTCAGGGCGCTGCCTAGTTTCATAGCTTCTTGTGTTATCTTCAGTTCATTTCTGCTTCTTCTGTTGGCGCGTTGCACCCGGAGCTGAAGGATAAGTTCAGTTCCTGTTTGTTTCCTTCTGCAGCTGCAATGCAGGAACTGATGAACTCAGAACAATGGCGACCTGTTGCTCACTGTTTATCTGCTTTATGTAAAAAACAACATAAATATGAATTATCTTGTTGGAATAAAGTCCAGTAGATCTGATCTACAATCTGACTGAAACCTTTAATAAATCTGAGGAACAATTTGTTAAATTAATAATTTAAATCAAATCTTCAGGCAAAGCAAAGCTAACTTTTGTTCATGAAATGAAAAGAGACCGGAATCGGATCGGGACTTTTCTAATAAGTAGAACCCGTAGCGTAGGCATCGGGTCGGATCAGGCGCTGGTTCTGATCCGGGCGGATGCAGCATGAAGAAAACAGCGCCCGTATTTTTCTAACATTTACTCAGACGTCTGTCAGTCAGCACTGAAGAGTGTTTGAACATTTATTGCACATATCGTCTCTCACTGTTGCAGTTTGTTTTTTCTGAATCCCATAATTGCAGTGATGTTTTGTGTACCGGTCGCCGTAGCAACCTCAGAATGGTAATCTTTATTTTATGTCCAAAAAACAGAAATAAAGTATTTCAGTACTTCTCCCTGATTGGTTGGATTATTTGGACTGTAAAACAGAACTGGTTGAAATGAGGAGATTCACAGATCTATAGATGGATGAATGATGGATGGATGAATTATGGATGGATGGATGAATGATGGATGATGGATGGATGAATGATGGATGGATGAATGAATGATGGATGGATGGATGGATGATGGATGGATGGATGGATGGATGGATGGATGATGGATGGATGGATGGATGGATGGATGGATGGATGATGGATGGATGGATGGATGATGGATGATAGATGGATGAATGATGGATGGATGATGGATGGATGGATGGATGATAGATGGATGATGGATGGATGGATGGATGATGGATGGATGGATGAATGATGGATGGATGGATGATAGATGGATGATGGATGGATGGATGGATGATGGATGGATGGATGGATGATAGATGGATGATGGATGGATGGATGGATGATGGATGGATGGATGAATGATGGATGGATGGATGATAGATGGATGATGGATGGATGGATGGATGATGGATAGATGGATGAATGATGGATGGATGATGGATGGATGGATGGATGATAGATGGATGATAGATGGATGATGGATGGATGGATGGATGATGGATGGATGAATGATGGATGGATGGATGATGGACCTTCTGCTGCCGCCCCTCTGTCTGATGCTGCCCTGGTCGTGAGCCTTTACTATCAATCACTAAATGATTTTTTTATTTTATTATCGTTTTGATTTAATCAGTAATTTCTGGGGAAAAAAATACTTTAAAATCAAGTAGAAATTTATTATATATATATTTTTTTTTTCAGGCTTGAATTGAAATAAACAGCAAAATAAATATTTCATTAAAGTGTCATTAAGCAACAGCCGCGACGTTTGATTGGATCACGTGGTACATGATGCAGACGTGCACGCGCATTTTCGCGCACCGGCCGCGGGACTCGGTGCGGAGCGGCGGCAGGAGGAGGAAGAGGAGGAAGAGGAGGAAGAGGAGGAAGAGGAGCGCAGAGTCTCCGGCTGGCAGGCAGGATGCGGCTGCGGCTCCGGACCGTCTCGGTTCTGCTCATGTCCCTCCTGGGCTCAGGTAGGAACCGCAGCTTTCACCGCAACATTCCCGGAATTCCCAACTAACTTCCCAGCTGCAGAAACCAGTCTGAACAGTGATGGATGTTTCCCGTTCTGACCCGGTCCGGTTCTGACCCGGTCCGGTTCTCGAACCTTTAGTTTGTGGCTCTGCGCGCAACAACCTGGTGAGTTTAGTGAGTTTAATCATAAAATCTGCAGAATCTTTAATTTCTATTCATAAACTAGAGAAAATACAGAAGGATTCAAAACTAATAATAATAATAATAACTGAAACTTCTTATTGCAAAACTCGGCAATGATTTTGATTTCCAGCAGATGAAGTTCTGGTAGTTAAAAAAAATAGAAGTGACTCAGCTGATGAGGGTTATGGACAGAGCAGCTTCTCAGTATTAATCGCTTCAGGCGTTGGGGAACCTGGAACGAGAGAACCGAGAACCAGAGGAAACAGGAACCAGAGGAACCGAGAACCAGAGGAACCCGGAACCAGAGGAATCGAGAACCAGAGGAACCGAGAACCAGAGGAACCGGAAACCAGAGGAATCGAGAACCAGAGGAACCGGAAACCAGAGGAACCGAGAACCAGAGGAACTGAGAACCAGAGGAACCAAGAACCAGAGGAACCAAGAACCAGAGGAACCGAGAACCAGAGGAACCGGAACCAGAGGAACCGGAAACCAGAGGAACCGAGAACCAGAGGAACCGGAAACCAGAGGAACCGAGAACCAGAGGAACCGAGAACCAGAGGAACCGGGAACCAGAGGAACCGAGAAACAGAGGAACCGAGAACCAGAGGAAGCGGAAACCAGAGGAATCGAGAACCAGAGGAACCCGGAATCAGAGGAACCGGGAACCAGAGGAACTGAGAACCAGAGGAACCAAGAACCAGAGGAACCGAGAACCAGAGGAACCGGAACCAGAGGAAACAGGAACCAGAGGAACCGGGAACCAGAGGAACCGAGAACCAGAGGAACCAAGAACCAGAGGAACTGAGAACCAGAGGAACCGGGAACCAGAGGAACCGAGAACCAGAGGAACCCGGAATCAGAGGAACCGGGAACCAGAGGAACTGAGAACCAGAGGAACCAAGAACCAGAGGAACCGAGAACCAGAGGAACCGGGAACCAGAGGAACCGAGAACCAGAGGAACCCGGAACCAGAGGAACCGGGAACCAGAGGAACCGAGAACCAGAGGAACCAAGAACCAGAGGAACTGAGAACCAGAGGAACCGAGAACCAGAGGAACCGAGAACCAGAGGAACCGGGAACCAGAGGAACCGAGAACCAGAGGAACCGAGAACCAGAGGAACCGAGAACCAGAGGAACCCGGAACCAGAGGAACCGGGAGCCAGAGGAACCGAGAACCAGAGGAACCCAGAACCAGAGGAACCGGGAACCTGGAACCGGGAACCAGAGGAACCGGGAACCAGAGGAACCGGGAACCAGAGGAACCGGGAACCAGAGGAACTGGTTCTCTTTGGTTATTTTTGAAAGTGATTCAAACTGAACGTCCTGATCTTCTTCTCGTCTCTCAGACTCTAAATGGTTCAAATCAGATTTTCTTTGCGAATCTGAAGAGAGAAACAGACGAGAGTCCATGAAACGACATAAATATTCATTAATGTAACTTTAATCGTGTCGATGTTCTGAACTCAGAACCAATTAAATGGAGTTCAGCTTCATTTGGATCTGAACACCAGAAACAGAAACAGAATGGGTCCAACAGAACCTCCAGAACCTTCCCAGACCAGTCTGATACCCAGACAAGGAAATTTGCTCAGGATTTTTTCACCAAAACGTTTGACGCTCGCAGCTTCAATTCAATAATTATTTCCAGATAAATTCTGAGCTGTTAATTTATTGGTTGTTTCGTAAAGTTTTTTTGAATAAAGTTTTGTTCCACTGTTAAAAACTCTTTAACTGTTTCGATGTTTATATTCATGTTGGTGAAAATTGTTTTCTGCTTCCTGTCGTCTTGTTGAAACTTTATTGATGGAGTTTCAACGACGACAGAAACAAACAAACGAGGCGTTAATTAAACAAAAACAAGAAAAAATGAATTATATGGAGTTGTGATGGTGGCGGTTAAAGTTATAGCATTAGCATTGACTAAACATACTGTCACTATAGCGCTTTAGCATTAGCAGAAGGTTAGCATACCTAGCTAATTAGTTAGCATGGTCACCAGTGGCAGCCATGTTGTTGGTCAGAGGTCTGTCTCTTCCATCCTGCTGGGTTTTAACTTTTAGAAACTTCTGGAGTTCTGTTAAGAGTTTCTGTTGGGCCACGCCTGCTTCATGATGGCGGTTGGGTCCTGGTTTCCTGACTGCAGTGTGTGTGTGGGGTGTGTGTGTGTGTGTGTGTGTGTGTGTGTGCAGGCCTGGCCCTCCAGATCCAGTGCTACCAGTGTGAGATGACAGACGACTGCGCTGCGCCCCAGTTCATCGTCAACTGCACCGTCAACGTCCAGGACATGTGCCAGAAGGAGGTTCTGGTGAACGACGACGGTGAGCGACGGCTAGCGTAGCTTAGAGCTAGCTGCTGAGTTTGGTACTGATACTACATTTTTAGTTTGTAAAAATGTAGTAAATAGCTTGTAAATAAATTGTTGGTAACTATTTTGATAAATGGAGGTAAATACTAAATATTTAGTTAGTATGCTAAATATTTATCATGCTAACTAAATATTTAGTTTGAAAATATTTGGTTTGGAACTAAATATTTATCTCACTTATATATTCATTTTGGACTTGTGACATTTATAAATGTATGAATAACATGGTAAAATATCTGAAAATGATTTTCTCCTCTTAGGTTAAATAAACCAAATTATTGCTGTTAGTTGTTTATTGGCGCCCCCTAGTGGCCCGGCCTGTAATGGTCTCTGTCCTCCAGGGATCCTGTACAGGAAGTCGTGCGCCTCCTCCGCTGCCTGCCTCATCTCCTCCTCCGGCTACCAGCAGTTTTGCACCGGGAAGCTTCACTCTGTCTGCATCAGCTGCTGCAGCACGCCGCTCTGCAACGGGCCCCGCCAGAAGAGGCGGCCCCCGCCGTCGTCTGGCGTGACCGCCGCCGGGCCCCCTCCTCATATTGGTCCTCCTCCTGCTGGACTCCGTCCTCTGCTGACAGAGACTCAGCAGAGGATCCACCTGATTTCACTGATTGTCTGAAAACCAGAGCAGGAAACAGGAAACAGGAAGTTACTTTGACATCAGAGCAGATCCGCCATTTCTACTGTCAGGACAGAGCTAGCATGCTAATATCTCAGTTAGCTGAGATATTAGCATGCTAGCAGCTCGCTAGTAAACAGGCTAGAAATAAATCGATCAGTTTTCACATCACAGTGAAACAACAGATTTTACACCAATTAAAGGAGCATTTCATATTTGATGAAATGTTTGTTCCTCTGAACCGACATGATGCCGAGCAGAACCTTCTGGGTCCAGTCGGTTCCACCAGGTTTTCATCACTTCTCTTTTCACTGCGTTTTATTTGAGGTTGTTTGTTTTGCACACAAATCGTTTTCTGCTGATGTGACCAGAGGAGGCAGAAAAAACAAATTAATACTGAGAATATCAACAATTCAACTGAGTTTTCTCAAAGTTCAAAGTGCAGCGAAGTAAAAACTAATATTTTCCCCAAATGTTGTTAATTGTAACTGAGTGAATGTTATTTGCAGCTCTGAACATGTTTGTGGACTTCAGGAAGAGTTTATGACCTTCAATAGTTTGAATTTTTCTTTTAATCTGTAACTAATATTAACTGATATAACAGATTGTGTTCTTAGTTGTGGATTAATTTTAATGCATTTGGATGTTTCACGATATGAATATGTTTTAAGCAGCTCGTTGTTCACCTGGTGAATCAATCAATCAATCAATCAATCAATCAATCAATCAATCAATCAATCAATCAATCAATCAATCAATCAGTCAATCAGTCAGTCTTCCAGCCTGTAACTTGTTTTATCAGAATAGTGGAATAAGACAAGTTTTAGTCTTTTGCATTTTGACCTTTTGACCTTTCCAGAGCCAGAATTCAAGGTGCATTAAGTGATTTGATCACCTTAAATTCTTGAATTTGAGTTTCTGGACACAAAGTGAGGACAGAGTTGAACAGTCGTTGTTGACCCGGTCCGGGCTCAGCGCCCCTCTGAAGTGTCCATCAGTCAAAGTCACGTCAGGGGTCAGGGACGGTACAGAACGGCCTGGGTCGTAACTCCACGTCCAACATGGCGGATTGGTCTGCTGCTAAAAAGCACAACAATCATTTCACATGGACATTTTTCTGCTTCTTCAAATCGTCATTGGATAAATTAGTTTGAACTTGTTGAATTCAGTATCAGTGAAACAAAGGTTACTTTTCAAAACTGATTATATTCTGTATTTTTGCGGCAGATCGCTCTGTGAACTAATTTCATATTTCCAAGATGGCAAAACATTTACTAATATTCAAAATAACCGTCTGATGTTTGACGAAGACATGAGTTTTGAAACCATCTGTTTTATGCAGGTTAAAGTTCGTTAGTTATAAAGTGGAGACAATAACAGATCAAGTTAAGGACAAACATTCAGCATATATATAAAAATAATCCAAATAAAAAAAGAAACGATGAATGTTGTGACGCCGGGCCAACATGGCCGCCGGTGGGAGCGTGGCGGATACTGACGACTCTCTGTGGCTCATTGAGCCCCGGATCAGCTGCAGCACAGATGGCTGCAGCGTTCTGCATCACATGGTGCTGATGATCCATTTTATCCATCTGAGACGCAGTCGAAGCTGATCACTGCAGCGATTGATCATCTGTCAGAAACTTGAAGCTTTGAACGTCTGCAGGAGGAAACATGAAAATAAAACTTAATAATGTTCAAACGTCTCATTTTATCTCTGATGTTTTACTGGACAAACCAACAGGAAGTTCAGCTACAAATGACCAGCAATAGTTTTTATGATTTAGTTTCTTCTGGAGAAATGAATGGAGGTTAGTTTTTTAAAGTCAGATTTTAACCATGTTATTGATAAAAATCACAGTTTCAAACTAAATATTTAGCTAATATGTTAATTCAGTGGAAGTGGAATGTCAAAATAAAAGCTGGGTTTTTATGACTTCCTGCTGCTGTAGATCCATCAATAAATATTTAACCCTTCAAACTGATTTTACTTTGTTTTATAATTTAAATAAATGTAAATTTTGGTCAAAAAAGAAAACGAAACGACAAAACCAGCTTTTATTTTGATAGTTCACTTCCAATTGTTGCCAAGTGAATTAGCATGTTAGCTTAGCATCAGTCTGTGAGCTAGCTGTGTTTATGAATGAATGAATTCATCCTGTTAAATTAACCCAAATTATTCAGTTTCAGATGAACTTTAAAAATGTCTCCCAATAATCTTTATTATTAACTTTAGTTTGATTTAAAATATTTATTAAAAATGAAAGTCATCTGTAAGCAGGAGGATTTGTCTCTTTAAGATGAAATATGTCTGCAGCGTCGCTGAGATCTGGACAGGAAACAGCAGGGGGGAAGTAAATCGATGTGACGCCCCGCTGAGTGAATAATCCAGCAGCCATTGGATCGATGAAGATGAAGCTCATCCTCTTCATCACAGGGAGATGAAGAGCCGAATCGGTTCTGTTTGTTTCAGCTGGAAGGAAAATGAAAACTGGATGAAAAGCAAACGACGTTCAGGATGTTTTAACTGATCAACACAGGAAGTCTGATTTAGTGACTTCCTGTCTGTGTGAGACCGTTCAGCAGGATTCTCCATCTTAAACCGGCAGAAATCTGTAAAACCCAGATGAAAATGATTCATGCTGGAAATAATCCCATCGGTTCTTTGGAGATTTTCTGGATGACAGATCTGAGTGTCGATGGAGGAAACGCCAAACCTTCTTCTTCTGTGGTTTTCCTCCTTCCTTAAGTCTCAAACCTTAAAACTAAATGTAAGATTGTTTAACTTCAACAAAATCTGATTTTATTATTAAATGAAAAACATTCAGTTTGGTTTTTTTATTTCATATTTTCTCAGTTTATATCAACTCATCTGAAAATTCTTCCTGTTTTCAGTTCCAGCAAATTCAGTTCATTCATGAAATCCTGGTTACCATGGCAACGGGAGGAAAGCAGACTCGTGCAGAAATCTGGGATGTAACGAGCGAAGCTGATTTTATGTTCAACCGGCTTGCCATACAGACACTGGCAGCGGGGCCCTCAGGGCCGGCCCTCAGAGACAGGCGGCCGGGGGCCACGGCACCCTGCAGACCGCAGTGGAGAGGATTTAACTAGGCCACTCAGGAAGTCAGAATGTCAAGGAGACAAATGAAAATAATTTGTGTTATTAAAGATGATTTCTGCCACAATTCAGATAAATATGAACTATTAGAAAATAATGTAATGAAACTGAAGTTCCTGTAAACTTGAGCTGCAGATTCTAGAAAAACTCAACAAATTCAACGCTTCACTGTTTCTGCTGCAGATTTGGATCCGGCTGGACGCCCCCAGCATCACCCCTCCTCCACCGTGTTGGAGGTTTTCTGCTGAATGTGTCCAAACGTTCAGACGTTTTGTGAAGTATAATTTCTTTTGCTCTGACAGTTTTCAGAAACTCTGAAACATGGAACCATCTGATCGCCGGAGCAGCTTCTGGTTTCAGATTTCTGTCTCGGTTCTGGTTTCCGGTCCGGTCTGCTCGCTCAGGCTGACGGCCAGCCGGCAGCCGGACGGCGCCGAGTCGCTCTGGAAGGTGGTGAAGGTGGGCGGCGCCCTCTGCTGGCCGCCGCTCCTCCGGCCGAAACGCAGCGATTTCTGGAGCAGCGGCCGCAGCGAGCGTGCGGAGGCGGCGCGGGGTCCCGGCGCGGCGCAGGGGCCCGGCGCGGCGCGGCGGTTAGCGTGCTGGATGGTCAGGCGGCAGCGCAGAACCTGCAGGAACACCTGACGGAAGTGACGAGACGACAGGTTGTAGAGGAACGGGTTGAGCACGGAGCTCAGGTAGAAGAAGGCGTCGGCCACCAGGTGGAGCCACGCGTAGGTCCAGAAGTACGACAAAGACCAAGACGACTTGGGGACGGCCGCCGTCATCAGGCGCCGCAGCTGGTTGGGAAACCAGCAGAGCATCAGGGAGCCGACGATCAGACCTGGCAACATGGAGGAAACATGTCAACATGGCAACATGTCAACATGGCAACATGTCACATGGCAACATGCAACATGAGGCAACGTCATGTCAACATGTCAACATGTCAACATGTCAACATGGCAACAGGTCAACATGGCAACATGGAGGAAACATGTCAACATGGCAACATGTCAACATGTCAACATGGCAACATGTCAACATGGCAACATGTCAACATGTCAACATGGCAACATGTCAACATGGCAACATGTCAACATGGCAACATGTCAACATGTCAACATGGCAACATGTCAACATGGCAACATGGCAACATGTCAACATGTCAACATGGCAACAGGTCAACATGGCAACATGGAGGAAACATGTCAACATGGCAACATGTCAACATGTCAACATGGCAACATGTCAACATGGCAACATGTCAACATGTCAACATGTCAACATGGCAACATGTCAACATGTCAACATGGCAACATGTCAACATGGCAACATGGCAACATGTCAACATGGCAACATGTCAACATGGCAACATGGCAACATGGAGGAAACATGTCAACATGGCAACATGTCAACATGGCAACATGTCAACATGGCAACATGGAGGAAACATGTCAACATGGCAACATGTCAACATGTCAACATGGCAACATGTCAACATGGCAACATGTCAACATGGCAACATGTCAACATGTCAACATGTCAACATGTCAACATGGCAACATGTCAACATGGCAACATGTCAACATGGCAACATGGAGGAAACATGTCAACATGGCAACATGTCAACATGGCAACATGTCAACATGGCAACATGTCAACATGTCAACATGGCAACATGTCAACATGGCAACATGTCAACATGTCAACATGTCAACATGGCAACATGTCAACATGGCAACATGTCAACATGGAGGCAACATGTCAACATGGCAACATGGCAACATGTCAACATGGCAACATGTCAACATGTCAACATGGAGGCAACATGGCAACATGGAGGCAACATGTCAACATGGAGGAAACATGTCAACATGGCAACATGTCAACATGTCAACATGGAAACATGTCAACATGGCAACATGTCAACATGTCAACATGTCAACATGGCAACATGTCAACATGTCAACATGGCAACATGTCAACATGGCAACATGTCAACATGGCAACATGTCAACATGGCAACATGTCAACATGGCAACATGTCAACATGGCAACAAGGAGGCAACACGTCAACATGGCAACATGTCAACATGGCAACATGTCAACATGGCAACAAGGAGGCAACACGTCAACATGGCAACATGTCAACATGGCAACATGGAGGCAACACGTCAACATGGCAACATGGAGGCAACACGTCAACATGGCAACATGGAGGCAACACGTCAACATGACAACATGGAGGCAACACGTCAACATGGCAACAATGAGGCAACACGTCAACATGGCAACAAGGAGGCAACACGTCAACATGTCAACATGGAGGCAACATGTCAACATGGCAACATGGAGGCAACACGTCAACATGGCAACATGGAGGCAACACGTCAACATGGCAACATGTCAACATGGCAACATGTCAACATGGCAACACGTCAACATGGCAACACGTCAACATGGCAACATGTCAACATGGCAACATGGAGGCAACACGTCAACATGGCAACATGGCAACATGGCAACATGGCAACAAGGAGGCAACACGTCAACATGGCAACATGTCAACATGGCAACATGGCAACATGTCAACATGGCAACATGGCAACATGGCACATGTCAACATGGCAACATGTCAACATGGCAACATGTCAACATGGCAACATGGAGGCAACACGTCAACATGGCAACATGTCAACATGGCAACAGGTCAACATGGCAACATGTCAACATGGCAACATGGCAACATGGCAACAGGTCAACATGGCAACATGTCAACATGGCAACAGGTCAACATGGCAACATGTCAACATGGCAACATGTCAACATGGCAACAGGTCAACATGGCAACATGTCAACATGGCAACATGTCAACATGGCAACATGGCAACATGGCAACAGGTCAACATGGCAACATGTCAACATGGCAACATGTCAACATGGCAACATGGCAACATGGCAACAGGTCAACATGGCAACATGGCAACAGGTCAACATGGCAACACGTCAACATGGCAACATGTCAACATGGCAACATGTCAACATGGCAACATGTCAACACGTCAACATGGCAACATGGCAACATGTCAACATGGCAACAGGTCAACATGGCAACATGTCAACATGGCAACATGGAGGCAACACGTCAACATGGCAACATGTCAACATGGCAACATGTCAACATGTCAACATGGCAACATGTCAACACGTCAACATGGCAACATGGCAACAGGTCAACATGGCAACAGGTCAACATGGCAACATGTCAACATGGCAACATGTCAACATGGCAACATGGAGGCAACACGTCAACATGGCAACATGGCAACATGTCAACATGGCAACATGGCAACATGTCAACATGGCAACACGTCAACATGGCAACATGTCAACATGGCAACATGTCAACATGTCAACATGGCAACATGTCAACATGGAGGCAACATGTCAACACGTCAACATGGCAACATGTCAACAAAGAGGCAACATGGCAACATGTCAACATGGCAACATGTCAACAAAGAGGCAACATGTCAACATGGCAACAAGGAGGCAACATGTCAACATGGCAACATGTCAACAAGGCAACATGTCAACATGGCAACATGGCAACATGTCAACATGGCAACATGTCAACATGGCAACATGTCAACATGGCAACACGTCAACATGGCAACAAGGAGGCAACATGTCAACATGGCAACATGTCAACAAAGAGGCAACATGTCAACATGGCAACATGTCAACATGTCAACATGGCAACAGGTCAACATGGCAACATGGCAACATGGCAACATGGCAACAAGGAGGCAACACGTCAACATGGCAACATGTCAACATGGCAACATGGCAACATGTCAACATGGCAACATGGCAACATGGCAACAGGTCAACATGGCAACATGTCAACATGGCAACATGGAGGCAACACGTCAACATGGCAACATGTCAACATGGCAACATGTCAACATGTCAACATGGCAACATGGCAACATGTCAACATGGCAACATGTCAACATGGCAACATGTCAACATGTCAACATGTCAACATGGCAACATGTC